CCACAACACCTGGCCATTTTTTTTGGTTGCAGCCATCATTGTTGTTTGGCGGGCCTGGGCTGGGGATTCGAACCCGCCACCTTGGGTGTATGTGGCTGGCGCCTTAGCCGCTTGAGCCACAGGCGCCGAGCCTAGAATAAAATTCTTATTTAGTCTCCTTTAGTCTGGATCACTTTCTCAACTTTTCTTATTTTTTTCTCAATCATGATGCTTCCAATGAGTACTGCTGAATTATTTTGTAGACTGCCCCTTTATTGGATGTTTCCCCATAATTAAAATTCAGGTTATACACTTTGGGCAGGAATTAACACAGAACTGATGCGTGTCTTTCTCAGTGTACCTGGAGGCTCATGGTGATGACTTATACTATTAGTGATTACAAAATGTAGGTCACTCAACTCAGTGGTTCTTAACCTTCCTAATACCGCCAACCTTTAATACAGTCCAAAGGGGTCGCTACCCACAGGTTGAGAACCACTGGATGGTGTCTGCCAGGTGACTATATTTCCCTGTGTACTTACCGAGTATCTTTTGGGGAGACTTTTTTGAATTTGTGTAAACAAAAATAGAACATCAGAAGAAGAGAAGGGGTTGGAGGACAAGGGGGAGAAAGGAAACTAGCTCATTCACTCTTTCCCATGGAGCATACTTCAGGGCAAATCCCAAGCTGGCAGTGACCCTGGTGAAAAGGAAGAGGCTGTGTCCCACAGTGACCACTGCAGGGCAGCAGAGGATTGGAGTGCATTCACAGCTGGGCTGGGCACAGGAGGAGAGGTTTCCCTTTTCCTCTGAGTAACTGTACTTACTAGAACTTGAAGGCTTGGCATCTGTTAAAGATCTGGCATTGTCTGCGAGCCAGGTCATGCAGGTGATGCAGGATGTCTCAGTTGTACTTTGCTCTCTCAGGACGATGCTCCCAGGCTGACTGCAGTTGCCAAACACTGAGAAAGCAAGACCTGTAAACAGGGGCTCTCAGATCAGGAGGGTTTCAGGGAGTCTGAGACTTCCTTCTGAGTCTGGTGGCAAAATTCGTGGGTACTGAGGATATATCTGCTTTGAGACTAGTTGCAATCCCAAAACACCTGTGGTAGACCTAAGCCAAGGAGCTTTGCCGGAAAGTTAGGAGGATGTCTATAAGATTAAAGGGAAAGGAGAAAAACTGGCAGCCCCAAAGGGTCTTGGGGAACCTGCTGGGCAAAATTAGGGAGGCACCTCCATGAGAATGTCTGAACTTTGACAGCTTTCAGCTTTACAATTCACCTTGCAGTTCAGATTCTAAGGAGAAAGAGTTACTTGGGACCAGCATGGTGGGGCATGTTATTAACCTCACCTCCCAAGTAACTCATCCCTCCATTAAATACGTCTTGAGCAGGTGCTTCTGTGTGACCAGCCACTGCTCTCAGGTGCCATTTGAGATGTCCAAGTAGAGGTATCCAGTGGAATCCCAATTCTTCCCATCCCCTCATCCCTCTGTGCCAGCCAGACTGGCCTCCCTGCTCACTGCTCCCCACACATGCTGAACTCATCCTGTCCCTTTGTCTGAAACAGCCTCTCTCAACTGTGAGAGCCACCCATGTGGAGACAGCATTTAAAACCGCAGGAGAAAAGTCATTCCCCCAAAATAATCAGGGTGCTATTCCAAAAGGAGGCAGGATGAATGCTGAATAGCAAAACCCCACAAGTATCCATGACAGAGGACTCTAGCAGAGGCCTGTGATCTCAAATAGGTTGAGAATGACTCTAGTATTGCGGCTTTTTACATTGCAGCACAGTATAATACATGTATGTATATATATGTGCACACACACACTGAAATAAAAATTTCACAAAGCTGACTGGGCATGGTGGCTTAGACCT